CTCATCTGTAATAGCATATTCTGCGTATCCTCCAAACCGAGTCAAAGCGACTACATGGTCGCCATGCTTAAATGAAGTCACATTCGCACCTACGTCGACCACTTCACCACACACATCATAGCCCAAGACGCATGGCAAAGGAGGCATATCTGGATATAACCCTAAGCGCGCCATAACATCGGCATAATTCAGACCGAAAGCAGACACTTTGATTAATACTTCATTTTCTTTCACCTTAGGAATCTCTATCTCTCTCCACTCAAATGGTTTATCTGATCTTCCTTTTTTGACTAAATACGCTGCCTGCATCTATTTACTTTTTGGCTAAAATAATAAGTATATTTCATTTAGTGGAGTAAACCTCTAAAATACGACTAGCTAGCCGGCAAATCTTGCAAATTGGTCTATTTGTCGAAAAAACTACTTCATCTGCAGAGCAGCTACTGTCTGCTTTATTTCTTGCAATGTCGCTTCTTTATAATTGGAAACGAGCACGGCTTGTTGTGCAGTGTTTGCTTCTAGTAAGGACATATACATTTTACTTTCTATAGATTTTATCGTCAATACATAGACCTCTTGATTGAGCCCTATTTGTCTAAAATTGAATTTTGAATTGGTTCTATACTCATCTCTAAATAATGATTTTTGATTTTTCATAATTAAATAAACTTTGACGAAATCGATTGTATTCGCATCCACAATAAAATTAGTCAACTGACTTCTATCAAACCGATCACAATTGATCCATCCTAATTGAGAACTTGTAATAACATAGTATCCGAAATCAACCACCGCTTGCATCTCTTCGCGCTTCACTTTAGCTTCCTGATATTCTCGTTCTTTCTGAATGCTATCTGTCTCTTTATCTACAGTATAATCACTCATATCCCCACCGATAGAGGTAATATTATATTTTCCGAAAGGCTCTCTGGTTATTTTAAATTCTATAGGAATAGTATAAATATAATCTATAGGAACGCCATCTAACTTAGCAGGTGTCCAGCGAGGCATAAGTTCTACCAATCTGATAGCTTCTTTATCTAAAGAGGCTTCTACGCTCTTATCGAGTTTTGCTTCTAATACTTTTCCACTCTCATTTATTAGAAATTTAATCTTGACTACCCCTTCTACACCTTTTGAAAAAGCTTTTGTGGGGTACTTCCTATTTTGCTGAATAAAATGTTTTAAAGACTCCTGGCCTTCTGCAAACACAGGTAGCGTCTTTCTTGAAACAATTTTGCCTTGTCTCTCAGACGTGGTTCTCCAGTTTATAATCTCCTTTTGCTTATCCCCGTAAAAAGTAGTCATTCCTGGTCCACAATCATTGCAAGGCATACTTAGCTTTATATTCCTTCCTTTGCGCACAGCTACGGTTTGATTGTTCTCGCTTGCTTCTATATTTAGCATACCACCTGAAATTAGAGGCCTGCCATCACTGCGGGTACTCAACCCTTTTTCTAAAAAATCCAAGGTAGAAAGGTATTCATCAACTTTGATGGTGATTTTCTCTGCTGGGTCTCCTGTTATAGTATTAACTAGTGTTCCAGCTTTAATAAAAATTTTAGTACCCTTTTTACAAACAATTGTTGTATCCATAGTCCCATCAATTATAAAAACTTCGGAATTATCGGCTGGCTTGAAAATATTTTCATTCTCCTTTTCATCTGTGGTAATGATGAATTCTGCCCTCCGCCATTCTTCTTCATTTACTTTTTCTGCAAAAGCATCTCCAAAATGTCTTAACTCCACTCTAGCTGCTGATACTCCATTGCTAGTCAGAAAATTTCCTATCGTTTCCGCCCTTTTCTTGGACAATTCCATATTTTTACTTTCTTCGCCAGACTTACTAGCATAACCCAGAATAATAATTTTCTGATTGGCTGATAATCCATCCAGACTTTCCCTCAAGCTAAGCATTTGCTGAGCCGATAACTCATACTTACCATTGTCGAAATAAAGTTTTTGTCTAGTTTCTGATTGAGCACTAAGCTCAAGGCCTAGTATTATTGCCGCTGCTAAAAAATAATGAACCATAAGAACAAGTTTAGAAAATTCTAACTCTAGCTCTTTGTTTTTAGTATATTTTTTAACAAATGTGACTTCATTTATAATAAGTCAGAATAATCTCAGCTACACGCTTGGAGGCATTCTTTTCTCCTAATAATTTTCGCAGACTCTGATAATTTTCTTTGAGCTTGTTGCTATATATTGGATCGATGAGCTTATTAATTTCTAGTGTCAAATTAGATGTATTCAAATCATCTTGAATTAATTCTCTGACTATTTCTTTACCAAAAATAAGATTGACTAGAGATATAAAGGGAACTTTGATTAATCGTTTGCCCAATTCATAATTGAGCCAACCACTCTTATAGCAAACAATTTGTGGCACCTCAGCCAGAGCTGTTTGCAGCGTAGCCGTACCCGAGGATACCAAGGCCATATCGGAACCGGAAATCACCTCATCGCTATTATCAAATATCAACTCTACTTCTTTATTTCCTATGATTCCCTTATAAAATGATTCTCCTAAATGACTCATAGCTGCTACCACAAATTTGTAATCCGATATTTCGGATTGAACGCTCAACATCAATGGCAAAATATGTTCTACTTCCTGTTTTCTACTCCCAGGTAATAAAGCAATCTGCTTGCTTTCTTTCAACTTTTGACCTTCCACTTTTGACTGTAGGAGCGGATGCCCAACAAACTCTGTCTTCACTCCTCTTGATCGAAAAAACTCCTCTTCAAATGGCAAAATAACGAGGAGTTCATCGATATACTTCGCCATTTTTTTGACTCTATTTTCTTTCCAAGCCCAAGCCTGTGGAGCTATATAGTAGATAACAATAAATCCATTTTCCTTTAGCCAAGGTAATAATCGCAAATTAAATCCAGGATAGTCAATGAGTACAACTACTTTAGGATTGACCTCTAAAATTTGCTTTTTTACCAATCTGAAATTTCGGAATATAGTCGGCAAATTTTTTATGACTTCATAGAATCCCATAAATGCCAGTTCCCGATAATGCTTCAGTATACTAGCACCAGCTTCCTGCATTTTTTCACCTCCCCATGCAGAGATTTTTAGCGATGCATTTTGAATCAATAATTCCTTGATAAGATTCGAACCGTGTAAATCGCCAGATGCCTCACCGGAAATGATAAATAATTGGTTTTTGTCTCGCACGGAATTCACAGAATACTTTTTAAATTAAGAAAACTCCAATCCGTCATTCCTGATGAAGCGAAGCGTAATTCGGGAATCTTTAAAGTATTTAATCCTTTTTTAATAAAACAACTATAATACTGTAAATACATCGGCTATTAAATGTAATATTATTTCTCCGGTACTCATTTCTTCTTTTGACTTTTTCATCTTAACGTAAACATTTTTCCTAAACTCACTGAATATATCATCGTTCTTTTGGGTATAAATTTTATCATATCGTTTCCTTAAATCTTCCTCTCTTAACACAAAATAGCTTTCAAATATTGCTCTATAATGGGTTAGATAATTTCTATCTGAGGTCATTTCTGCATTATAACTTGACATTAAAGTCTTATATGCAAAAATTATCCTATCCTTTGAATCAGATTCATTAACCCCTAAGATTTTATAATAATCAATCATACTAATTTTCTGTTTGTTTGTGCTTTCTGTGAGAGAAATTACCCCTCTGTGAGAAATTTTATTTGCGTCAATGCCACCAAACCCGCCGTCTCTACTCTCAATACATTCTCTGACAAAGATACCTCCTTCAAACCTAATTGTCGTATCATCTTAAACTCTTCATTTGAAAAATCACCTTCTGGACCTATAATTATTGTTGCACTGTCAGTTTTTGAAAAATCTGAAATCTTCTTCTTAGCTCCTATCGATGCAATAAGTGTATTTTCTGAACAAGATGTTATAAATTTTTCAAATTTAATTGATTCTTCCAATAATGGAAAATAAAGGACTTGCGCCTGTTTACATGATGACTGAATAATTTTATTCCATCGCTCTAGATTCACTTTACTTCGTTCCGTTCGCTGACAGATAATTGGGGTTATTTTCCCTAAACCTATTTCACAGGCCTTTTCTAAAAACCATTCAAAACGATCATTGGACTTAGTTGGTGAAATGGCAATATGGAGATTTGATGGCTTTTGATTGGTTTCTATTTTCTCTATAAAACGCAACTGTGTTTTCTTTGAATACGCTATTATTATTTCGCACAAAACTTTTGAACCCTTCCCATCTACAATATGTATTTTATCTCCTACTTGATGTCGAAGCACGGAAATACAATGTCTGCTCTCTTCTTCGCTGAGATAAAACGGTTCTGTTTGAGACCATATTGGGGAATAGAAGAGTTGCATTACTGAATGTAAAAATACTTTATTATTTTTGTTTTATAATATTTAAAAGTTGACATTTAGACTGTTAAAACTAATCTTAATTTTTATCACTTTTCTATCCTCTTGCGAGCCAGAGAAGTTAACTTCATCTAATATTAAAACAATAATTCTTACTTCTAGAAAAGATCCAAAGATCATTTTCCATTCTGTACCTAAGGGTGCTGATTATCATACAATGGAAATGTATTATAATGAAACTCCAGCATTTAAATACTTTGTTGATAGAAAAGAGTTCGAACTAATGAATTCTAAAGAGTTTGTAAATTGGTTGAAAATTGGAGATACAATTAGATTACAAATAACAAATCAAGATTATATGAGAATTTCTAATTATAAGAATGAAAGACTCCCTTTGGAAGAACAAATGATAAAAGTTTATGGTATTCATTCCAAACATATCAATTTTCTATCACTTAATAAGGTCTTATTAAAACAAAAAGAAATTAAATCTAAAGAGCCATTGAACCTTGGAGTAATATTAATATTAATTATTGTCTTTTTCCACGATAAAATCGAAATATATATTAGATTATTATTCAGTCAGTTTGTTTTAACAAAATAAGGTCAATTTCATACAATTAAAACCCTATTCTCACCCCTTTTCCGCTTTCTAAGAAATCATCCTTCGTTGGGTCAAAGTCTTTGACATCATCTAAGGTGATCGTCGCTCGTATTTTATCTGTGCGCTTTTCCGCTGGCATTTCCGCTAAGCGAAGGTTCTGAACTTTTATAACCTTTTCTACTAACTTTCGAATCGCTCGTCCATTACCAAAGTACTTCGATTTCTGCCGCACTAATTGTTTGAGATAATCCAACATAAATTCGTTGGCTTTTTTATCAAGCTTCAATTCTTCACTAGAAAGCATATTGAAGAAAATAGTTTGCAACTCTTCCGCACTATAGTCTTCAAAATCAAATTTTCTATCAAAGCGCGAACGCAAACCAGGATTGCTCTCCAAGAAGTTCATCATTCTATCCGTATATCCTGCCACTATAACAATAAATTCCCCACGCTGATCTTCCATACGTTTGAGAAGTGTGTCGATAGCTTCATTTCCGAAATCACCGCCATGACCAGAAGTTAAAGAATAAGCCTCATCTATAAATAGAACACTGCCTTTGGCTTTGTCTATCATCTCTGTCGTCTTAATAGCCGTCTGACCTACAAAGGCTCCCACTAATTTTTCTCTATCACATTCGATCAAATCCCCTCGCTCGATGATTCCGATTGCTTTAAAAATTCTCGCTAGAATTCTCGCCACGGTCGTTTTACCAGTTCCTGGATTTCCAAGGAAAACAGAGTGTAACGGAAACTTATTCAATACATCTTTGCCTTCTTCTTGATAAAATCTTACAAGTGTAATTAATTCATTGACCTCTTTCTTGACATTGGTCAAGCCCACCAAAGCATTGAGTTCAGCTAGGCTTTCTTTCAACAACTCTTCATCCACTGGAATATGTGGTTTTTTCTTTTTGTTTTCCTCAAAGACTTCTTTAATATCCGCTTCGGTGATTTCTGCAAAAACCTCCGCTGGTAATTCCTTGACGTTCTCATTTTTCATCAAACGAATACCCATATTCATCTTGGATTCATTCACCAGAGAAATGACCATACGGGCATTTCCGAAAGAATTCGTTCTAGAACGATAAGCATCTACCAGTTTTTTGGAGAGCAAAGCTTTGGCTTCAGGAAGCAAGTTTAACTTATACTTATTGTATTCCAACAAAGCAATTTCCTCCAATTCTTGCGGTGTATAATCTTGGAAATAATAATAATGACTAAATCTAGACTTCAATCCCGGGTTTGAATCTAAAAACACCTCCATTTCTTTCGGATAACCTGCTACGAAGACCGCTATATCTCCTTTGCCATCACTCATTTCTTTCAGTAATATTTCAATCACTTCACGACCAAAATCTTTAGTGTCTTCTCCCGATCTATATAAAGAATATGCCTCATCTATAAATAGAATTCCACCTCTAGCGGCATCTATAGCTTCCTTGACTTTCGGCGCCGTCTGACCAATATATTCTGCTACTAGGTCTGCTCTGTCTACTTCATGAATATGGCCTTTAGATAAAAAGCCAAGTTTGTGAAATATCTTGCCAAGTAATCTAGCCACAGTCGTTTTGCCTGTACCTGGGTTACCTAAAAATGCGGAATGAATAGAAATACCAGAGTTGTCATCATAGCCTTTTTCTTTTCTTATCACAAGAAAATTAAGGTATTGAACATAATCCTTAACCTCCTGTTTAATATTCTCCAGACCAGTAAGGCTATCTAATTCCTGAATCAAATCATCCAGTGACTTCGTGTCGATTTCTTCTTCGATATTAGCAGGAAGCAGTCCCATGTTATTAAACATTTCACTACCAATGGTTATCAGATTGGACTCGCCTTCAGTATATCGATCACCCATTTTAAAAGGAATAACCGCAATGAGGGTGTCCATAAATACAACTTCTACTGTATAATTATCCTCAAACCAAGAGCCTTTCACATCGCTCCCCCAACCTGTTTCGAAGAGAAAACTCTCCCCTCTCGGTATTCTAGCCATGCGCACAGAGCTACCCTTTAGTTGTCTGGCATCATTATAAAAATTAAATGTCAATTCACACATCCAGTCCTTATCTAAAAGGTTCTCAATTTCACATTCCACCCATACAAATCGAGTTTCTTTATAATCAAACTCTAAAAGATATTTTCGATCGTTGATGTTTAAATTGCTGTCTGGACCCTCATATAGGGCAGCATCAGAAATGAAAAAGTACTTGTTTTCAAAGCTAGTAACCAAGCCTACATCATAGACATAAAAATAAGTTGTAGCTACAAGTTCGTCGTCTATATATGCTTCCCAACAGTATTCTCCTTCTTTCCAATAACTGCCTGGCATTTCTTGGCCCCACCCTTCTCTCACAAAGACAATATTGTCTTCTGCTTTGACCACTCTTGTAGCATGAATATTACAAAGTTCTATTCGTGCCGTCTTGGTAGAAAAGGCTTTTAGGTTGATTCTTGCAGTCCACTCTCCTTCGTCAAACCGTTTATTAAAAAAAGCAAGCTCTGCATAGATATGTCTTACTTCGTTCGAGTCAAAGACTTGTCTATACTTCTTGGACTCATAGAGCCACTCGTTAGAAGCATATATTTTTAGGCTTTTGTATTTATAATTATCAGACATCTTTTACCATTTATGTTTTAAAAATATACCAATTCTTTATGGGAGTAATACAGTGCTTGAAGTAGTTTCAGTCATTTTTGTTGACCTATTACTAATTCATATACGGTATTATTTCTATTACATCAAAAACTATGCGAATATATACCTTTTTGGAATGCACTTGTATTTTTTTGATTTTGACAAACTATTTTAACAGTTCTTTGAGCTTTATATAATAGAAAACGAACTTGTTCTTAAGGAAACTATTAGTTTTGCTATACAAATAGAAAGAATACGATGGATGATGTCATAAAAAACATAATAGCGATAGGGCCTGTTTGGGCGGCTTTGATAGCGACTACATTTACTTGGCTATTGACGGCTAGTGGCGCAGCTTTGGTGTTTCTTTTTAAAGATATGTCTCGAAAAATGCTTGACGGTATGCTTGGGTTTACAGGAGGAGTCATGGTGGCTGCCAGCTTTTGGTCACTTTTAGCCCCCGCTATTGAAATGAGCCCTGGCGAAGGATTTGTCAAGGCCTTTCCTGCTGCTTTTGGTTTCTTTTTAGGTGCTATTTTCTTGTTTGGCTTAGATAAACTACTTCCTCACCTACATATCAATTTTCAAGATGATCAGGCCGAAGGTGTTAAGACCGGTTGGCATAAAACGACGCTACTTGTCCTTGCTATTACGCTTCACAATATCCCCGAAGGCCTAGCGGTAGGTGTGTTATTTGGTGGTGCCGCTGCAGGCATTGAAGGGGCTACCTATGGCGGTGCTATTGCGCTAGCTATTGGTATAGGTATTCAGAATTTTCCCGAAGGTCTCGCTGTTAGTATGCCACTGCGAAGACAGGGCTTGAGCCGATTTAAATCCTTCTATTATGGACAGTTATCTGCTATTGTAGAACCTATAGCGGGGGTTTTAGGGGCTTTGCTTGTTCTTCAGATTCAACCAGTTTTGCCTTATGCGCTAGCCTTTGCTGCAGGAGCTATGATCTATGTGGTGGTAGAAGAGGTCATTCCTGAAACCCAATTGGATAAATATACAGATATAGCCACCCTAGGGTTTATAGGAGGATTTATTGTGATGATGCTACTGGATGTGGGGTTGGGATGATATTAAATTTGAATTCAAAAATTAAAAAACTCAAACAACTATAAGATTAATTTTCGCAGATCTATTGGACTCTCAATAAGCTTATCGCCATTTCTGCCATAGCACTGCTCCCGATAACCAGAGCATCTTCATCGATATCGAATTTCGGATTATGAACCGTTATTGTTGTTCCCTTCGTATCATTTCCTGTGCCTAGACGAAAAAAGGAGGCTGCACAGTGGTGACCATAAAATGAAAAATCCTCGGCACCCATGCGGATAGGCATTTCTACTACATTTTCTGCACCGACTAATTTTTCTGCTACTTTAGAAATTTTATCTGTCAGTAACCTATCATTATTGACAAAGGGAACACCTTCTGGAATATCCACAATACAATCACCCCCAAAGCTTCTGGCAATACCTTGGGCTATCTCCTTTATTTTCAGCTGTACTTCTCTGCGCCATTTTTCATCAAAGGTTCGAAGCGTGCCCTTGAGTTCTACTTTTTCTGGTATAATATTCGTAGCACCTGAGCCATGAATGTCTCCAAAAGTCAATACTGTAGGAGTTTTCGGGTCTGCATATCTACTTACTAGATTCTGCATGGCTAGAATGATATGGGCGCATAGCACGATGGGGTCTACGCAGAGATGGGGCGAGGCACCATGACCTCCCTTACCTATAACTGTAATATAAATTTCATCCGCCGATGCCATAAAAGGTCCTGCGTGAAAACCGAGCTTGCCTACTTGCAACTCCGGCGTGACATGCAGTCCTAAAATAGCTTCTACTTTAGGATTTTCCAGCACCCCTGCTTTTATCAATACTTCTGCACCCGAAGGTTGTTTCTCTTCACTGGGCTGGAATACCAATAGAATGGTTCCCTGCCATTTGTCCTTATTTTCTATGAGATATTTAGCAGCGCCCAATAAACATGTAGAATGTACATCATGGCCACAAGCATGCATGACGCCTTCATTTTGACTTTTATAGTCACAAGTATTTTGCTCTACAATAGGCAGGGCATCAATGTCTGCTCTTAGCGCAATTGATTTTCCTTGACCATTTTCTAACCTAGCGATCAATCCTGTTTTTAAAGGCCGAGATATATTCTCTATCCCTAGCTTCTTTAACTCATTATGGATATACTCTGTCGTCTCAAATTCATGCCAAGACAACTCGGGATGACTATGCAGATGTCTTCTCCACTCGAGAAGCAGACTATAGTAGAGATAAGTTGGTAAGGATGTTAAATTCATCAGTTACAAATGTACATAAAAATTTTATAGTGGTATGTGATTCACTCTTAACATTAAAAACCTATTGACTCGTTGTCAAATTGACATGATGAAAAAGTAGCAAAGGAAGTTTTCTCTCCTTTGTTTATCATGCGTAGGGCTAAGTAGATAAGATAGTTGAGTCCTTTATGGAGAGACTCAACTAGAAGAAACATTAACAAGGAATTGGACAAATGTATTTTCTTTTATCAATTCTTACCATATGTTAGGAAAGCTTTCCGTAAGATTAGGCTTTCCTTTATTATTCCGTTTCGTAATAGAATGGTTTTTTTATAATACATAAATGGTATAAAAAATTTAGATTAGGGTTTAGACCTAAAGCCTTATAAATCAAACATTATATCTAGATTTATATAATTTCTTTTTTTCTTAACTTAGTTTTCCACAACATAACCTATATTTGTAAACTATTTCCTACATGAAGAAAGGATTATTATTGTTTTTACTTGCGTTGGCGAATCATTCCCAGGCTCAGACCCACGAGTTGGGCGGAGGCATGGGCTTTGCCTATTACTTTGGCGATTTAAACATTGTCAATCACAATCGTCATCCCTTTACGTTTATTACAGAATCGTTCAATCCTAAGAATTATAAAATGGCTTATTCTTTAAGCTACAGATATAATATGGTAAACAGATTTAGTTTTGGGGCCAATTTCAACCACCTCTATTTATCTGGATATGACTCCGATAATAAGTCTAAAGAAAAATATGACCAAGAGTGGTCTAGGTTAGTAAGAAATTTGAGTTTTCATACAGCGGTTAATTCATTAACACTTGATGTAAGATATGAGTATTTCCGCACGGAAGATCTTTGGGGCAATAATAATAGTGGCTATATCAATGATTGGATAATATCTCCATATGCCGCTGCGGGTCTTGGTGTTTTTAGTTTTAATCCAAAAACATGGTATAAAGGAGAGGAAATAGAACTTCAGCCACTCGGCACAGAAGGTCAAAGCATAAAGCCTTATGGTCAAAAATATAGTTTAATGGGTCTCATTTTGCCTTTATCGGTAGGAATTCGTTTTATAGAACCGAATAGGGTTTATTCTGTGGGTGTAGATTTTACCTACACCTATACCTTCACAGACTACCTAGACGATGTCAGTGGTAAAAACTATGTAGATCCCGCTGTATTTCGGGCGAATTATGACCCCGCAAAAGCAGCCTTGGTCACCGCTCTTGCCAATAGAAACCCCGAATCAGCCTACCCAGGAGTCATAGGTAGTACTGAAGACATCCGCGGCAACCCCTCTCAAAGCGATGCTTATCTATCTGGACAGATAAAATTTACTATCTTCCTAGATGCATTTCAGCAGCGTTATTGGAAGTTCTAAATTGGCTAATCCTTTTCTTATTACTTAAAAACGGCTAAAGATTTCTTAATCTTACTATATAGGCATATCTCTTCTTATAGTAATCTTCCGTTAATGAGTTTATCATTACGCCTTTACTAGTGCTGGCATGCACGAACATATTGTTTTTCAAATAAATACCTACGTGCGAAATTTTAGAATTCTGATTGATCGAGAAACAAATTATATCCCCTTCCTTGGCATCTGTTTTGTTTATTTTCTTTCCTTGCTCTGCCAATTTAGCGGAAGGATAATAAAAAGCGGAAGGATACGAATACACCTGCCTCAATAGCTCGCAACTAAAATTAGAACAATCCACCCCCGCTTTGGTTTTTCCGCCGAATTTATAAGGGGTACCCGTCCATTCGTCTATGAAACCATAGAGTCTTTCATCATTTACTTCCTCTCCTATAAGTTTTGAATATTTTTCTAAAAGTGCTCGTTTCCCGCTGCTAGGTTTAGTTGTGGTGCTAGTCTTACTTGGCTTCGACTTTTTTTGAAATATACTACAGGATGATAGTCCTATAAGAATTATAAAAAGAGAAAAGCAGACTAATCGACTCATTGACACAAAAGTAGTTTTGTATCAAATTTTTGTTGCTCTTAGCTTATCACACACTTAAAATTCTTGTCTATTTTATACCGCAACTCTCTTATTAATTATAAAAACCACCATTAAGAATCAAAGAATCTCTTTTAAAAATTCCATTCGATCTTTATTAATATAAAACAAGCTTTTTCTACCTTCTGTTTTTTTTTCTACGACAGATAGCTCTGTTAGAATTTTTAAATTTTGAGATGCGATTGATTGGGATTGCTTTGTCAATTCAGACAATTCATTAACATTAGAGCCTTGGCTCCTGTCAAGTATTTCCATCAGAACTAATCGGCCCGGATGTAGAAGAAATTTAAGATACTTATAGCCCTCTATTAAAGTTGAATAGGCATTATTAAGCGCTAAATCTGTTTTTCCTTTTCCATGTCGTATTTGATGACAGAATTGAATTAAGCCATTTAGTTCTTCTAGATGGATAGCATATTTTCTTTCTTTCAATTGTGCTATGGAATAAACGAGATTTGCTTTTTTCAAAACGGCTAAATGTTGGCTGACGATGGGTTGCTCCATATTGGTTATTTCTACTAAACCTGTCACGTTCACTTCAGGATTATTTTTAATTACATTCAACAAATAGTATCTACTAGACCCTGTGATGGCTCTAAGTTTCAGATACATCAATCTGTACTTTTGCAATAAAACAGGGTCAAAAATCATTTTTTAGTTAAATAGTTGTTGACTATATACATGGGTTCAAAGTTCGTTAAGTTGACAAAATCTTTCGATTTCCATTTCTCTAGGACAGTCCACTTCAATTTTTCTGCACTGAGCTCAATAGCATTCATTTTGTCAGTATAGAATAGCCAAGGATTTTGACATTGGTTAATTTCCTTTTCTATGTTCTCAAAAGAATCAAATGCAGATATTGTTTCTTGATAGCTTTCCGATATATGAGTGTAAAAGTAATTAGCTCGTCGTGCATCCATGAGAACAAATACGTCTGTTACTTCATCGGCTTTCTCTGTGTATAGATAGTTTCCATAAGCTACCAGTCCCGGGATAGCAATGAGGGGTGTATTTAGAGCAAAACATATCCCTTTGGCTGTAGAGGATCCTACACGAAGACCAGTAAATGAACCCGGTCCTTCATTAATAGCTACGGCAGTAAGGTCTGCAAACTTTTTATTTGTCGTTTCTAATAGGTGAATAATCGCTAGATTAATTTTTCTAGCATGACTATTTTCCTCCATCTCTTCTCGATAGGATGCCAGCACTGCCTGGCTTTCTATATCTAGCAGAGCCAAAGACATTTTTTTAGTAGAGGTATCTATAATGAGAATTGTCAAGTTTGTCTTTTTTATTTTTGCAAAATTATCAGACACGGCGCTTCTAGAAGTATATTTCTTAATCAAGTAAAATTTGCTTGCATTTGTTAAAAAAATATTATCTTTAAAGTCGAATTACATTGCTTATGGCAGGAAATACAACATCTCAAATAAATCTCTCCGAGCTACTTCAAAAGAATTTTGGATTTAGCACTTTTAAGGGAGAGCAGGAAAAAATCATAGAGTCTATACTCTCTGGGAGGGATACGTTTGTGCTTATGCCCACAGGTGGGGGTAAGTCCCTTTGCTATCAGTTGCCCGGAATTATTTCCGAAGGGACAGCCGTTATTGTCTCTCCATTGATCGCTCTTATGAAAAATCAGGTGGACTTGGTTCGAAATTACAATGAAAATGAAAATGTAGCGCATTTCTATAATAGCACACTCAATGTAGGTCAAAAAAGAGCGGTAGAACAAGATGTAAAAGATGGTAAGACCAAACTGCTGTATATCGCACCTGAAACCTTAGCTAAGCCAGATAATATAGAATTCTTAAAGTCTTTTAAAATATCTTTTGTAGCCATAGATGAGGCTCATTGTATCTCTGAATGGGGTCATGATTTCCGACCTGAATATAGAAAGATAAAAGATGCGATTAAAAAGATTCCCTATCACGTGCCGATTATGGCTCTTACCGCTACAGCCACACCGAAGGTTCAGGTAGATATAGTAAAAAATCTGAGCCTCAAAGATCACAATCTTTTTGTCTCTTCGTTTAATCGTGCCAACCTCTATTATGAAATACGTTATAAAATCAATGATGACTGGGCGGTTAAGAACATTATTCAATTTATCAAAACCCAAGAAGGAAAAACGGGGATTATATATGTTCTGAATAGAAAGTCTGCGGAAAAGATAGCGGAAACTCTCTGTCTCAATGGGATCAAGGCCGCTCCATATCATGCAGGATTAGAAGCTAAACTCCGAGCCAACACCCAAGATCAATTTCTAAACGAAGACATTCATGTCATAGTGGCCACGGTTGCCTTTGGAATGGGAATAGACAAGCCCGACATACGATTTGTTATTCACTATAATATAGCCAAGTCTTTAGAAAACTATTATCAGGAAACCGGTAGAGCGGGACGAGATGGTCTAGAGGGCAACTGTATTGCCTATTTCAACTATAAAGATATCACCAAAGTAGAAAAAATGCTGAGTGATAAAACGGTAACCGAACGCGAACGCGGTATGCTGCTTATAGATGAAACCGTAGCCTATATAGAATCAGGAGAATGTAGAAGAAAGTTTTTGCTCAATTATTTTGGCGAAGAATATGATAGTAAAACTTGCACCGAAGGAAAAATGTGCGACAACTGCGCCAAACCGAAGGAAAAGGTCAATGTGACAGAAGATATATCCTTATCGCTCAATATTATCAACTCTTGTATAGAGGCGCATTATCTTCCTCACATTATGAATATCGCCCTGGGAATAAAATCCGATGGGGTGGCGTCCTATAAACATGACCTTATGCCATTCTTTGGACAAGGAAAAGATAAAAATGAACGTTACTGGACTTCTGTACTTCGAACAACGGTGATTCATGGCTTAGTATATAGAGAAGTAGAAGAATATGGGACATTAAAACTGACGGATAAAGGTCGAGCATATTTAATAGAGCCTTTTAAAATAGAAATTTCGCTTAATCATGATTATGAAAGTGAAGGAGATATTGTACTAGCTGGGAACAATAACTCTAGTATGGATAAAGAGCTCTATAATATTCTACTAGATATTCGAAAAATAGAGGCCAAAAAGGCCAATAAACCGCCATATGTGCTTATCCAAGCTCCTTCCCTAGAAGAGATGTGCTTAAAATATCCTATTTCAGAAGAGGAGTTTAGCCATATAACGGGTGTCACCAAAGCCATGGCGGCTAAATATGCATCGGCTTTCTGCCCTGTTATCAAAGATTATGTAGAAGAAAATGACATTATTCGTCCCGATGATGTCATGGTGAAAACGATTGTAAATAAAAGTAGCGATAAAGTCAAAATCATTGGCGCTATCGATAAAAAAATATCTCTAGAAACGATTTCTAAAGAACTCGGTTTAAAATTTACTGATTTAGTAAATGAATTGGAATCTATAGTCCTCAACGGCACCAAACTCAATATCAGATATTATTTGAAAGAAATACTCGACGATGAGGTTGTCGACGAGATGATGGAGTTTTTCCAAAAAAATGAAACTGGGGACATCAAAGAATGTTATGAAAACTTCATAGACGACGATTTGCCAGAAGATGATATCCGCTTGGTGAAATTGCAGTTTATTGGGGAGAATTTGATGTAGGTTTTTTGTCCTATAATACACTTTATCCCGTTGTTTGGTGTTATTCACCAACAACTTAATCGCTATACTATAATGTTATATTTGTCGATAATACCTAGCGTTACAAATTCTCGCTAGAGAATGAATAAAACATTATTGCTAATATTACGTTCAAAATAATTGCTCCCCAAAATAAAGTTTCATATCTTATCTTTATTAAATACAATTTATAAATAGCTTCAAATTCGGCAGTATTTCTTAATTTATTAATGTCTACAACTAGAAATGATATCGGAAAAAAATTTATGTAGTATATGTTAATAAATTTTAAATAAGATATTTCGCTTGATAAAGTATACTTCCTGTTGTTTTTTGCTGAAAGTATTTTCAAGAAAGTTATATAGTTTAGAATTAGAAAAATAAATGGTATTAGAAATAGCACAATTCCCAGTATTCCTAAAATTTCATTGCTTTGCATTGTTTTTCTATATTAAGTTTTACCCCCTTCCTGTGTATCAAAATCTCAGATTGCATTTCATTCATTATTATCCACAAAAATAGTCCTTTCTATTATAATCTCCAAAATTACTATCCTTCTGCCATTTAATTTTTCTATATTACTTTCGCAGACGAAGTATTATTAAATTTTATCATTCAAAAACCGCTTTAGTTAAATGGAGTCTTCTCTTTTCTCGACCGCCTCATTGATGGCTATTCTCACGTTGACTTTTCTAGAAATCATTCTGGGTATAGACAATATCGTTTTTATCTCTATCGTCACAGGCAAGCTCAAGGAAGCCGATAGACCTAAAGCAAGAAGAATTGGTCTCTTTCTAGCCCTACTATTTAGAATTGTCATGCTTTTTGGGTTGACCTGGATTTTAAAGTTAAATCAACCTTTCATTTCCTTAAATACAAGCTTTATTGATGTAGGTATTTCAGGCCAAAGTTTGATTGTTTTATTTGGCGGTCTTTTCCTTTTATATAAGTCTGTCTCTGAAATCCACGACAAAATGGAAGGCGCGGAAGAGAGCTCACACAGCCCTAAAGCCAAATCGGTAACCAACGCTATTATTCAGATAGCTCTATTAAATTTAGTGTTCTCTTTCGACTCTATTTTGACAGCCATAGGATTAGTTAGTTTAGCTCCACCGCCTGTTGGCTTTGGCTATGCTACAGGGATGGAGATTATGATTATATCCGTTATCATCTCTATTTTGATTATGCTCAAGTTTGCTGGTCCCGTCTCTGATTTTGTCAATAATCATCCTACTATACAAGTTCTTGGGCTGTCCTTTCTCATACTTATCGGCGTGATGTTAGTGGCCGAAGGAGCGCACATGGCACATTTGCGTATTCTAGATTCTGTAGCAGTACATAGTATTCCCAAAGGATATCTCTATTTTGGAATTATCTTTTCTCTTTTTATAGAAATGCTCAACATGCGAATGAGAAAATCCTCAGATAAAAAAGTGAAACTCCATGATAGTGAAATCAAGGATAAAGAGCTATATTAAACTCATTCTATCTTATTCGCTCTAAAGCTAGAGTTTTTATTAAATGATGCATAAAAGGACTTTTCTTGTTTTCGCTCTCTTCACGACCAGCTTTCAATCTTTTTTCGGTCAGAAAAATCTTTTTGAAGGCTCTGTAATGTATGGAGATAAAAAGAATCTCAAATGCGAACTTGATATTAAAATTGACTCTAGCTATCAGGTTACTGGAAACCTAAGTAGGGAAATAGGGGGTACAACTGTAAATCATATGATTACTGGGGATTTCAATCCCGAAGATAAAACCATTTATTTAAGAGAATATGCTAGATCTAAATCTGACTGTGCTATCTTCTTCCAAGGAAAAGTTTACTATCTAATTCAAGACATTTATACCATAGCTGGAATATTTAAAAGCCTAGACTCCGCTCGATGCCCCGCTGGCCACATTAATGTAATTTGCCGGAATTTTAAATTCAATCTCTACCCTAAAGAAGAGGAAAAAAAGCCTTTGGTCATTTCCGATAAAGACCAGGAGGCAATATTAACTAGTCTGCTCGGTCAGAAAATAAAAAAAGAAGCAAATTTCATACAAGTGCGCGAAAATGATAAAATAGAAATCAACGCAGGTGCCGATACCCTCTATCTAAAAATCTATGATAACCAAAAAATAGATGGCGATAGGGTCAAAATAGAGTTTAATGAAACTGTTGTGTCAGACAACTATCTTTTGACAGAAGACAAAACCATATTTAAACTTCTTCCCTCCAAAGGAAAGAATATTCTTAAAATCATAGCCCTCAATGAAGGTAGAATTTCCTTAAATACGAGCAAAGTTGAATTATACAACCGCGCCATTCACGAATACTACATCAATGTTTTATATAAAAACCAACACACCCAATATGAAATTAACAATTAATTGTCTTTTTCTTCTATATTTTTTACTGTCTACTTTGGCCTGTAAATTAGAAAAAAAAGAGGACAACCCTGCTAAACCAGATGGAAAAGCACTGTACCTAGACAGATGTACTTCTTGCCACGGAATGGATGGTAGAATGGGTTTCGGCGGAGCCAAAGACATTACGCAGACCATGAAATCCATAGATGAAATTATTCATCAGGTCACCAATGGCAAAGGAGCCATGGCTCCCTATAAAAACATTTTGACTCCTGAAGAGATCTTTGCTGTTTCTGAATATGCCATTTCATTGCGAAAAAAATAAGACCCTCTCGGAGAATTTAAATCACAATAAAAGAGGAGAAACCAAATAGATTTCATAGATTTTAAAACGTCGAGTGCCTAATCTTTGACTGAGTCAGATGATAAATAAATCTCTTTTTATTAATTCCTCGGAAATGGTGTTTAATATAATAAATTTACACTCTAATATATAACAAGACAAGATGGCTAGAAAACTGAATCAAATGAGATTAATTATTATTGGTTTTTCAATTTTTTCTATGAACGCATTCTCTCAATCGGGGAAACTAGATAGTAGTTTCAATAATTTCGGCAAAGTATATACTAATATGAATTCTACATTTTCATCAGATCATATAAAATGTATTAAGATATCTTTCGACGGGAAAATTGTTGTCGCAGGAACTAGTTTGGATTCAAATAAAACTAAATATGCAATAGCTCGCTATAATATAAATGGTAGCCTAGATACTAGCTTTGATAAAGACGGAAAGGTAATTACCAAGTTTGGTATCTATAGAGATGATTTAAATGCAATAGCGCTTCAGCCTGATGGAAAAATTGTTGTTGGAGGATATAGTGAGGATTTTAATGACGATTATAAATTTGCATTGGCGCGCTATAACATAAATGGTAGCCTAGATACTAGCTTTGATAAAGACGGTAAACTAACCACCAGTTTTGATGTGAATGATGATATTGTTTATTCAATATTTATTCAACCCGATGGAAAAATTGTTGCAGCAGGGAATAGTCATAACATTACCAACAATATTGCTATAGCTAGATATAAAACTAATGGAAAATTGGATAGTAGTTTTGGGATAAATGGTAAAGTAATTACAAATTTAGGAGTAGGGACATTAATAACTTCCGCCGCTATTCAACCTGATGGAAAAATTTTACTAGGGGGTTCTGCATTAAATGGATCAGATTGGGATTTTTTAGCAATTAGGTATAAGCCAAATGGAAGCATTGATAGTAGTTTTGGGGTAAATGGTAAAGTGATTACTGGTATGGGGACTGCCTCCGATTATGCCAATACGATTGCAATTCAATCCGATGGCAAAATTGTACTAGGAGGGACATATGATGACTGGAGTACTCAGCATTTTGAAGTTATTAGATTACATCCAAATGGAAGAATAGATTCTAGTTTTGATAATGATGGGAAGGTTTTAACATCTGTATTTGACAATATGGATAAAGCTTTTTCAATGTGTCTTCAAGTTGATGATAAAATAGTTTTAGCTGGAAAGAGCCATAAAATAATCAATTCGGATGTAATTTTTGCATTGGTTCGCTTTAACCCCAACGGTAGTTTAGATTCTAGCTTTGATAAAGATGGGAAATTAAATACAAGTTTTAATAATACAGAAGCGGCTACTGCGTTAACAATCCAGCAAGATGGGAGAATCATAGCTGCTGGTTCTACTTATAATGGAATAGACTATGATTTTTGTTTATCGAGATATCATAATTGTATTGGAACAACTAGGAGTCAATCTTTTACAATTTGTTCGGGTCAAAGTATAACAGTAGGTACAAATAACTACACTGTGTCAGGAAGTTATCAAAATAAATTTGTTGGATCGAATGGTTGCGATAGTATTGTAATTACCAATTTGACGGTGAAACCAAATTATTATATGACCCAATCTATTTTGATTTGCGAAGGTAAATCGTTTAAAGTTGGAAATAGCATATACACAGCAAGCAATACTTATGTTGATTCATTAAAATCTATATCTGGATGTGATAGTGTTATAACTACTATTTTAACAGTTAAACCACCTGTAAGGTTGGGTCAAAATATTACAATATGCGCAGGAAAAAGCATAAAAGTAGGAAATAAACTATATACCTTAAGTAACACCTACATTGATACTCTAATTTCCAAATCTGGATGTGATAGTATCGTGACAACAATTCTTACAGTAAAGCCATCGGTTAAGGTTACTAAATCTTATTCTATTTGTTCTGGAAAAAGCATA